GCATCTTCAGAGGACATGTTTTAATTTTAATTAGTAAATATACCCAGTTTTGCTCAGGCTGGAAACCCATTCATTCCAACCCTATCCCAGTGTTCTATCTCTCTTCTTCACTTTATTTGTATTTATTTATTTATTTATTTATTTATTCATTCATTCATTCATTCATTCATTCATTCATTCATTCATTCATTCATTCATTCATTTATTTACCGCCCATCTGGCAGCCAAGGCCACTCTGGGTGGTTTACAACAAATAACAAATAACAAAAAACAACAGAGGAACAAAATAGCAAATAGTGGCATTAATACATAGGGGTGAAAATCAAATATCATAAAGTGCAGTGAGGATAAAATTATAATACAATAAATACAATTAAAAGCATAGAAGAAAATAAAAACATGGAGCATGGCAGTATGATACAAGTTATACTATTGGACACTATTGTATCAGAGTGTAGTTTATTCAGGGAAGGCCTGTCTAACTAGCCAGGTTTTGAGTAGCTTTTTGCATGTGCCCAGTTAAGGGGCCAGGCGGACTTCAGGTGGAGGAGAGTTCCATAATTGTGGCACTACCGCCGAGAAGGCCCGATTTCTAGTGGTTGTTTTCTGAGTCTCTCTCAGGATCAGAACTCTCAGCCATCTGGCCTGCGAATATCTTATCAGATGGGCAGACCTAACAGGAAGGAGGCGCTCGGCTAGATATTGAGGTCCCAAACCATTTAAGGCCTTATAGGTTAGTACCATTACCTTGAAACTGGTACGGAAGCGAACAGGTAGCCAGTGTAAGGCAGCCAGGGTGGGAGAGATATGTTGGTATTTTCTAAACTCACTCAGAAGTCTTGCCTGTTGTAGTCTCCGTAGCAGTCCCAAGGGCAGCCCCACGTAGAGGGCATTACAGTAGTCTAATCTCGAAACTACCAGTGCATGGACCAGCGTGGTGAAGGACCCGGTGTCAAGGTAGCTGGGCAATCCACTTTAGGTGGAAATAAGCAGATCGAACCACAGACACTATCTGAGATGTGATTGATAGCAATGGGTCCAAAAGTACGCCCAAGCTAAGACCCTCATCCTTCATGGAAAGAGTGCCCCCCCAAAAGACAGGGAGGCAGACCACAGGCACTAGAGGGCCCCACCCACAGGATTTCCATCTTGTCCGGATTCAGCCTCAGTCTGTTGTCCTTCATCCATCCCAGCACTGCATCCACGCAGCGCTCAAGGGACGGGACAGCATCCACTGCAGAAGGGTGGAAGGAGAGATAGAGCTGCATGTCATCCGCATATTGGTGACATGAAGCTCCAAAACCCCTGATGACCTCCCCCAGCAGCCTCATATAGATATTAAATAGCATTGGGGAGATGGTTGACTCCTGCAGGACTCCACAATTGAGAGTCCACAGAGTGGAAAACATCTCCCCAAGCTGAACTCTCTGAGTACGGTCCTCCAGGAAGGATCGGTTCCAGGCCAAAGCCTGACCACCAAGCCCCAATCTCGAGAGCCTCCCCAGGAGGATGCCGTGGTCGACAGTATCAAAGGCTGCTGAGAGGCTGAGGAGGACCAGCAAGGACAATTTGCCCCTGTTGGCCTCCCCCAAGAGGTCATCTTGCAGGGCAACCAATGCTGTCTCTGTGCCATGACAGGGCCTGAACCTTTACTCTGCCTTCAGGTATTTACAAGGATTATGCCTATCTTGGATCCAGTCTTCACTGTCACCCAGAGGAATAAGGTAGGTGGGCAAGTGATGAGCAAAAATAACTGGCTGGGTAGCTCAGTGGGTCAGAGCACCACTAGGCCTCCCAGGAAAAGACCCTGCCTGTGCAGCCATGGGCAAGCTACTTGGTTCCAGAGCATCACCAGGAGGAGGGCTAGTAAACAACTTTTGAGTACTTCATGCACTAAAGAAATTGGGAAGGATTGCTGTTAGGTTAGAATTGATTTACTGACATGTAATTTTTATTAATAATAACAGCCACTTCATTCTGCAGAGACACCAGAGCTGCAAATCTGTTGATTTAAAAAAAAATAGTATGCCATCTTGAGAAAGGTGGAATAAAGAATGAATTAATCATATGTATTAATAATTAATTAATCATTAATTAATCAAATAATTAATCATAATTAATTAATTAATTAAATGCCATACAGTCTGGCCTGCATGTCTTAAGCAAACTTACCTATTCTCAGGTGTGGTGTGCTACTGACAATGTTAAAGTAAGATTAAGGTGGCAGTTCAGTTCATCTTCTGTATTTGCAAAGTGGAGGATAAGGAGTGGAGGCAATATCTTACCCTTTGCAAAAGCAGATACTAAGCAAGGAGACAATGGGCACCTTGAACTACGATGCATCTTGGCAAAGACAAGGAAAATGTAGAAACAGAGCCAACAACTGGCAATGCCAGGTCCAAGTATTTCTATTGTTGTTTTTTAAATTCACATCCTCTTCCCTTACTACAGTGACAACACTTAAGAACAGCAACATAATTTCTTACTATCAAACTAAGAATTATCTCTGCATGGTTCAGGAAGCACCTTGTAGCAGCCTCCTTCCTCCCTATTCTATGGCCATTTTGCAGACTTTACATCTGAGAATTTTGTTGCTATCTGTGGGCTAGTGGCAATCCTCAGACAGGCATCAATGACACAGAGATCCCAGTCAGTAGTGGATAAAATAACACAACCCAATGAGAACTATGGCATCAATGGAATGAGGGAAAATGTCACTACACTGCTATTAGAGGAAGCCATGGACACTAGAGATCACTGCCATGAACAAGCACATCTGTGAGCAAACAAGTTGCCTGGGCATCATCCTCTGGCAGCAAAATGTCTTGGACAGTCCTGGGCGTTGCTGCCTGTGCTGCTTGTTACTGGATGAAAGTGAACAATTGTGTAGAACAGGAAAAGGAAAGGGGCACGTACCCAAATTCTGCCTCCTCCTGCAGAGGTGAAGCTGCCGTTGATTCATGCTTTCCAAACAGACTGTTCAGCCTTGCAAGGAAAGCATACCAAAGTATGGATTCTCAGAAGGGCATTTTTAGATTCCCTCTGTGGTAAAGACAATTCACAAAGGGTGTGTACTCAAAGAAAACAGTGCACTGGCCCGGAGTTCCTGCACCAGACAGTAAACACCTAGAATATTTTAAATAGCCTTAAGCACCACAGGGTGTGGTCCCAAGGTTGTTTAGCAACACATTTTCAGAAATAATGACTTACCTGCTAATGAAAGAAATCACATGCTATGTTTTCTTTTGTTTTCATGGTTTGCAAGTACTGGCTTTTATTAAGCTATAAATTCTATCACAAGAAGAAGAAACAGTTTCAAGTACTGGCTTTTATTAAGCTATAAATTATCTCACAAGAAGAACCAGTTTCTCCTTTTCAGAAAGAATTGGCAACATGTACAAGTAAATGTGCTATAGTAGTAAATTACAGTAATTAAAATGTAAAGAAATAACTTATTTTTAGTAAATTAATCAGAAGCCAGAGAACTAATAAAAACACAGAACCACGATCAGATGATAATCAGCAATAGGCTGTAATCCTATAATCATTTACTTGGCAGCAAGTCTTGCTGATCTCAGTGGGTCTTAGATACGAGTAGACATGTATAGGATTACTCTACTATTTTTTATTAGGGTTGTGAGATTTTCCTTTTTTTAATCAATAAGTTAAATCAGTTGAAAGAGTTTGTTAACTGATCAACTGTGGTTTGAATCAATGAATATAAATTGTAATCAGTGTCAATGAGAAATAAGTTAACTTTTGTGGGGGGTTTTGTGTGATTACGGTAACAAACTAGGGAAATAAAAGTTCAACAACAGTTTATTTTTCAGAAAAACTACCACTCCTTGTTAGTAAAAAGTACATAAAACACAGAAATTGTTCCTGTAACTCAAAAACGCCAGCAAATTTCTAACAATGTAGCCATTTGTTTAAATTTAACAAATTTATGTTGTGTGGTTGCCAGAAAAAAGAACAAATCAACCAGCCCCTGCAGTGCACCAAATGGTGGGACAAATGCCCATCTGAATGAGCCTAGAGAGAGCTTTGGTTGCACTGGCGGATGATCTCCTTTGTTATTTGGGCAAAGGTGAGCCATCTTTGCTGATATTGTTACATCTTCCAGCAGTCTTTCATACAGTGGTGCATGTATATTCTTGAAGAGACTGGACAGAGACCTGGGTCTTACCGGATCTGTAATGCAGATCTCTTTTTTTTTCTATACAAAAGGATCCAGAGAGTTGAAGCAGAGATCCATTAGCCCACAAGGAACTGTCTTGTGGAGTCCCACAGCCTCAGTTTTAGTACCAAGCTATTCTTAAGACCACTGCCAAAGATCATCTGTGGCTTTGGAGTTGGGTGTCATCAACAGACTAATGACATCCAGCTACAGTATATCTTACATTAACTAAGCAACGAGAGATAGCCAGGACAGTCCTTGGTCACCATCTGGAGGCTGAGGTCAAGTGGCTGAGGATCCACAAACTGAAGCTAAATCTAGAGAAGACAGAGGGGATGCTACTTCATTCTGAAATAACAAATTTAGTTGTTGGTTTTCTAATAGCTGATAAAGAAAAAAATCCCCATATCTGGAGCTTGGGTGCTTTATTACACTCAGTGCTCCTGAAGTAACAGGTAGGAATGATTTCCATCAGCATGTTATAATCTGTCCCTTTCTGCTTGATTGGAGAAGGCAGATGGGGCCAAGCTAATCCATGCAGCTTTAAATTTGATATTAGACTAGTGTAAACTGCTGTTTATGCGGCCACCCTTGAACATAACTCAGAATTACAAGGGTTATACCTTGTACCATGCACAGCTAGTCATGCAGCTTTAAATTTGATATTAGACTAGCGTAATCTGCTGTTTATGGGGTCACCCTTGAACATAACTTAGAATTGCAAGTGTTATACCATGCACAGCTAGCCTATGAGTGAGTACCTCCCATCACTATCATACAACACAGATGTTGCACTGTTACACTGGCTGACAGTAGTTTCCATTGTTCAAATCAAGATGTTGGTTATCACCTTTAAAGTCCTACATGACTTAGGACCCAGATTACCTACTGGACAACTTCTACTCATATAAACTCCTGCGCTCATTGAGGTTGTTCCAAAATGCCCTTCTAAAGATGCCAACTGTTAAAGTTGTTTTGGCTTAAATAGATCAGGAAAAGATCTTTCTATGTTGTCCCCTCCCTTTTGAAATTCTCTGATTATGACATCCTTGCAGGGACTCAGAAGAAGAACAGTGGAATTGTTTCTGTGGGCCTTTGGATGTTAGTAAATACCACTTATGTGGTAAAGCATGTGGTAATATACACAAAATGAAATTGTTTGGTAGACTTTAAGTTGTTGCTAATTTTTATTTGCATTTTTACCATTTATGTGAAATATTTTATTATCTGTTGTGTGTGTTACACGTAACGATTGGCTGTTTTGAGGTCTGTTCTGTTCTTTGGACAGAAGAACATAATATAATGATTATGATATAAATGAAATTGATTAATTAATGCTTATCAAAAGAAACAGAGTATGAATCGTTAAAATTTGTCTCCTTTTGCTCTGTCATTTGTATCTTTATTTACATGCAGAATGATAATAAATGTTTGTGTCCTTAGAAAAATGCTATATAAATATTACTTCTAATTGCCACTATGGTGTTAAGATGGATGAAGCCTTTGCCTCAAGAGAGTTCTTCATTTTAAATATTATGGCACCAAATCTTAGAAGTGTTGTTTTCTCAACAAGCTGGAGGGTGAAATGCATTTCATGTGTGGTGGGCGAACTGGAAGAAAGCACAAAGACAGAGTGGGTGAGTCACACAAAGGGGACATTGCAGTAGATGTTGGCATACAAAGACAGCAAAATGGAATACGTTAGGCAGCAAATGTACCTCAGAAAGTCTATAGAAATGCTGAAGCAGAGTGGCCATATCTCTACCAGTCTCCTCACTTCACCCAATCTCCCTGGTTGTCCCTACTACCTACAATATCCCCTCAGAACACCAGCCAACGTGATCTTTCTTTCTTTCTGTAAAATCTCTCTTCCAAATAAAAAACCAAAAGATCTCCTCCAAACCAAAATCTAAGAGCTTTTCCATTAAGTCTCTGACCTAGACCTTATTTTTCCTCAGTCAAATGTGAAACAAAGCCCATGTCCGTCTAACATTTGCTCATACTCATTTTAGATCTGACAGCTCTTTCTTCTTCCCTTCTTGCCCCGTCTAAATTGAAATTCTGCACTCATCAAGACAGTGAGTTTTATTTCTTTTTTGCTTTGTTTGCTTTATTCTATAAACAGGACTAGTCCAAGAGTGTTTGTTGTCTGAAATAATGGACAAGATGGCATGCCCTCGTCCACTCCACATATAGAACTTGGCTGCAATAGCATTTGATGTTGTGTCAGCTGTGGTGATGGGATAGTGGCCACCACCAAACCTGGGGGTTGGGATAGATGAGTGGCACGCACAGTTCTAAAATCCGACAGAGAATAGGGGGAAGTTACAGGAACAACTGGTAGGTCTGCTCCCTCACATAATGCCAATATCCCAGGATCTGCCTCCTCAAGAGGCCACCTCACTCCATGTAAAGGTAGTGCTTCCACACCTCCTCCCAAAACATCATGGCCATTGACAGTATTGTACATAGAAAGTGACACATATATAGAAAACCCCAAAATTAAAAAAATTAAATGACAAAAGTATTATGTAGAATCCTCATGTCCTAACCACAATATTCCCTTTACTCATATGGACATGCCTTGCCAACTCCAGTTCAAGCACTGAAATAAACAGTGAGATAGATTGCTGGCAGATTCTTGCTGCTCTCTGTAGAAATAGAAACGACTGGAGAAAGTAAGCCAGATTGCTTGATCACAGATTGTTCCCTTCTTTCCTGTTTCACATTGCTGATCCAAACGGCTCCCTTTTTTCTTGCCGCACTGCACCACTGTCTCCATCACAGCCCTTGTTTAGTATGTGCAAACCATTCGCCGAGCACATGGATGAAGGAGGGGAAGGGAGAATACTGCGCGAGGAAGGCATTCAGGAACAGGTAGGAGGTCCCCCCCCCCTCGTTTGTTTTCAGCTACAGTCTCCTTTGCTGCTATTTTTGGAGCTCTGTTCTCATCCATTTGTGTGCAAAGTTTTTAATTTTTTTCAAAAAATGAAATGAGAGGGTGAACTTTTGTCCAGTACGTTCTATGCATGTGTGTTTTAAAGGATGCAGCAGCCTATTTTTACCTTGCTATCCAAACAAAATGTCCCTTTCCCCTGGCTGTCCATCTTACTTCTTGCCTCTACACAGCATTCCTAACCAATAAATAATCACATATTGATCAAAGAGGCAGGATAAAGAGACTGGCGTGACAAAGCTGATTAAAATACTGTGGTCCACTGAAGGGTTTGCAGGATGTTTTAGGGAACCTGTGAATCTTGACACCTAATGCAGAGAAAAGCAGCTCATTTCCAAGTCAGTTTAGAAGGCTGGATGTCCTTGTACCTGACTCCTGCACTCTGCACATGATCTGGGACTTTGTGACAGCATTCAGACCTTCCTCCACAAACCTGACAGCACAGTTAACAGGGTGTATGGTGTGCAGCAGACTTCCCATAGGTAATGTAGATAGATCCCTGGGAATGAGGTAGTTTTTCTAAAGGATGTCTCTTTATGTTGGCTGGGATTGTGATAGCTCCATAATACAGCACATGTTTTACATTGAAGGCAGTCTCTGTTTCAACCCATGGCATCTCCAGATTAAAAGAGGACTGAGAAAGATCATAGCCATGACCTTGAGGAGCTGCTGCTAGTCAAAGGAAACAATAAACTAAATTTGGGGTAGGGAACCCTTAAATATTGCTACATCCCAGTTATATTCCCAATAACCAGAAATGGAAATGGGGGGGGGACTCTTTCTTTGCCATCTCCTTCTCTCTTCATCCCTCTTCTTCCTCACCGGGACGGAAGCACTAATTCTAGGGTACCAACAATGAAGCTGATTACAGAGGTGGGCAACCTATGGCTCTCCAAATGTTATTGGACTGCAATATGATCCTTCAACACTGGCTTTGTTGGCAAGGGGTAATGGGAATTGCAGTCCAACAAAACCCAGAGGGCTATAAATCTACTCACATCTCAGTTTTAATACATGCAGCATGCCATTACCGCTGCATAAGAGTACATCAATAATCTTCTACTGGCAAAGCAAATCAACATCCTATAAAGCAATTCTAAAAATGACAGCAACTCAAACAAAATATTTTTACTTTTAAACTGGTTTTCTGATTGGCATCAAATTTGGCACAGTTGTAGTAGATAGTCTGCTCTTGCTCTGTGCCAGGTTTGGGGAAGTTTGTGCAAATCATTAAGTAATGATTTTTTATAAGTAGAACTGTTTTAAACCCTCCCCCTCCATTTGGAAATTGGCAACCTTAAATGTCCTCAGATTTAAAACAGATCACATAAATGGAAAAGACCAATTTTGCTTACCTTGAGAATGGTTGGTCCCACCCACTTTTTTCCCTTGGAAATAATCCAGGCGGCAGGGGGTGATATATTGATGCTCAAAAAGGCCTTTCAAGAGGGAAAAACAGCCACTTTGTTGTAGGACTGCACAGGTGTGGTATAGGCTAGCAGCTAGTCAGAGGTTTGCAAAATGCAACACTGTATACATTCATGGGGAGACATTCTGAAAGAAAGGTCATGGAAACTGCCCTTCCTCACCTCCCCCAGCATGGGAACCTCCCTCCATGTCAGTTTTTCAGACTAAGGTTTATGTGCCAAGAGTTCAGACAATAATTGCTAGACTGCACTCTTGTACTCTCTGTGTGACAAAGAATAATCCTCAAAATACTATCCCAGTACAGTATTCTGAACATTTGAGTAGACATGTGCCATTTACTCCTTTGATCAGGAACAAAACAAGTTGACTGTGTTTAAGTGCAGTAATATAAGAGCACAATTTGATGGAACTCACAAACTTTGCACCTTCACCCTTGTCCTTGGTGCTTTGAGAAGTATGAAGCATTTTCTACCTGGATGACTGAAAGTCTAGCTAGAATGAAAGTTAATTGCTGATGACAGATTTGTTTAGAATTAAATGATAATTTAATCATAAATGATGAGAATTCTAAGATTTGCCTAGCTGGAGCACATTGTTTCAGTCTGTTGTTTCCAAAAGTGGCTATCCAACAACCTCATCTGAACGCTATCAAATAGAACACAGCACAGACATATGGTTTCTGTTGTTTATCTCCTCACAAAGAAGAGGAGGAAGGGAGTGTAGGACACTCAAGTAGGATAGAGGAAACAATTCACATACAGTACCTCATTGTGAACTGACTGTTGTTTTCCATTCTCACCAGTTTACTTCCAAGATCACTTCAGAGTGTTGGCTTTGACCAATCCAAAATAAATGTTGGGACGGGAACATTTCAGAAACTGCCTTAGTCCTGAACATATATTTTCTGGACTTCTTGTGTACTTTCAGCTTCCCTCTGTAGCCCCTGACCTGGAATAAGGCAATAGGTACCTTGAAGGGCCCTCTTAGTTGTAATGCCTGGAGTGTGAAGTGACATCCATAAAGAAGCTTGCCTAAACCTAGCTTTTAGGCAGACAGAGAAGGGCAAAGATGGTTGTATTTAAGCAAGTCTTTTCCTGATCATGACTTTACTATAATTCTACAATAATCTTCAAATGCTGTTTGGATTTGCTTGTTAGCTTGTTTCCCAATATGTGCCTCTCCTCCTGTGGCTTCTGATCACTAAAATTAGGATTTCTTGCAAAACCTCTGGTTTGGCCCCTTTGTGGCAAAAGATCTAGCAAACAACTCTACTGCCCCACTTCCATGCTATTTACTCATGCAAACTGTTTCTTTGTATGTTTACTTGGAAGTGTATCCCACTGAATCCAATGGTCTAATTTGCAAGAAAGAAAGTCCAGGGTGGTAGTCTCAATTACTATTGTTCTTCACTGCTTTCCTTCTTATCTTATGGATGGTACTCTACAGTACATACATAGTGCAACCAGAATTCTGACTCTGGGCTGGACAGTCTGTGTTTGGGACCTTTGCCCTTCAATTTGTCTAGAATTTGCATTATCTGGACCAGACAGCACAGCAGTGATAGTGCATTCTTTTCTTTTTTTGAGACATAGAAGTCCCCTACCACTTTCTCTTTATAGTGCCAGGTGCTGCTTCTACCTCCACATCATGTTGCATTCCTTCCCTTCCCTAAGACCACCTCCTCTTTCATCCTGACTTCTTTTTCCTCCAACAGTGTTGTTTGGTTTCTTTCTTGTTGAAAAATACCTCCTGTTTCTTCTTGCCTTCCATGCCTACAGTTGAGGCTGCATCTTGTGCTGGAACTTTTCCTTTCCTCCTAACCCTCCCTTGAGTACAGTTTTCTTCTTCCTTTTAAAAAGCCTTGTGGCGCAGTGGTTAAAACTGCTGTACTGCAGCCAAAACTGTGCTCACGACCTGGGGTTCAATCCCAGGTAACTGGCTCAAGGTTGACTCAGCCTTCTATCCTTCTGAGGTCGGTCAAATGAGTACCCAGCTCGCTGGGGGGGGGCAATGTGTAGCCTGCATAATTAACTTGTAAACCACCCAGAGAGTGCTTGAAGCACTACGGAGCGGTATATAAGCAGCACGCTTTGCTTTGCTTTGCTTTGGCTTCTCATTTCTTCTTTTTTTTATCTGAGAGCATGACTGCACAGACATTGTCTTGAGTTGATGCAAACTTTTCTATACCACATCTGGACACTTAGATTGCTGTTGCAGTTCACACAGAAATGCTTCATTATCCCAGGAAGGTACATTTCAAGTGTCCATACATCACACAGGTCCCTCTTCTCGGCCATTATCATCATCACTCTCTTACCCATCCCTTTGGCCAGCATTCAGATCCCTTTATAAACAGTGTTTAGCAAGTGACATTGTGCTGAACTGACAAAATATGTCAAGCATTTAAATTAGTGCTGTGTCAGTGTACCGCTATAGCACTAGATCAGGAGGAAAAGTATTGTTACAACTACAATTTACAAATTCCATTGCTTAGCAGTGTGAGCAGAAAGCAGGCTAAAAGAGCAGCATCAGTGATGTCATCTGGACAAGCCCAACAATGGCCCTAAAGGATGTCAAGCATTTAAATTAGTGCTGTGTCAGTGTACCGCTATAGCACTAGATCAGGAGGAAAAGTATTGTTACAACTACAATTTACAAATTCCATTGCTTAGCAGTGTGAGCAGAAAGCAGGCTAAAAGAATAGGGTTTACTCCCACACCACATCTCACTCTGTGCAGCATCAGTGATGTCCTCTGGACACGCCCAACAATAGCCCTAAAGGACTTGTAAAGGTGATTACACAAGCAAGACAAAATAATGCAAAATGAAATCTACAAAAAACACAAGCCCTGCCTGAAAAACAAAATATACTACATGTACATGCCAAAATTCGAATCTACATTGTTGTTAGCCGCCTAGAGTGGTCCTCACCGACCAGATAGGCGGGGGATAAATTAAATAAATAAATAAAAATAATAATAACTGTATAGCTGACAGAATAAATACAGAAAGGAACAGTGAGAAACACAGCAGAAAAAGGGGGACAAATAGCTGTCTAGTTGCTCCTTGAGTTTCTTACTGTGCCTTACACATCGGGATGCCTCTTCCTTCTCCAGATCTCAGAGTCAGGGGGAGGACAGGGCCCAGTGTGAGAGGAACAGCTACAACAACAAACTCAGGAAAGCAAAGAAGAAACATAAGAGCTTTTGAAAAAGAAAAGGAAGTGAGAAGCTGCATGAGGAAGTGGGAAAAGATGACAAGGGAGAGATCATTAAGGGATTTGGGATGATGGACCTTTAAAGACCAAGCAATGCCACATGCACCTCCTTTCTCCCTCATAGACCACAGATATGTCATGGCCTTGATACTAGGGTAAAGCAAGGCATATTCTCAAAGGAAATTTTGCCACCCTAGCATAACTCCATACAAATCATGTTCCTTATTAGATACACGAAGGACACTATACACATACCTCTCGTTATGCTGCTCTAATCCATGCCTGTTGCATTGCACCTAGCTGGCCCACTTGGCCAATTTGATCTCTGAAGATTACGGTAAACATGTGGATTTTAAAATTAAGTTCCCATTTTTTCATGGCTGGTTAGATTCTTTTATGTTGCAATAGGTATTCATGGCTGGTTAGATTCTTTTATGTTGTAATAGGTATAAAACAAAACAAAGCAAAGCAAAGCGTGCTGCTTATATACCGCCCCATGCTACACATTGCCTCCCCAGCAAGCTGGGTACTCATTTTACCGACCTCGGAAGGATAGAAGGCTGAGTCAACCTTGAGCCGCTACCTGGGATTGAACCCCAGGTCGTGAGCACAGTTTTGGCTGCAGTACAGCGGTTTAACCACTGCGCCACGAGGCTCTTAAAAAGATGATAGAGATGATAAAGATGATAAAGATGATAAAGATCATGATCATTCAGGTGCCTTTTATTTGTCTTTTTTGTCCTTTTATTTTATTTTTCCCCCTTTTCTTTTTGCCTGTAATGATAGTTCAGGGATGACCGTAAATAATATGCTGCATTCTCTCAGAGACTACCCTGTTTCCCCGAAAATAAGACCTAACCTGAAAATAAGCCCCAGTATGATTTTTCAGGATGCTCATAATATATGCCCTACCCCCAAAATAAGCGCCAGTTAAGTGAAACCCTGCCTTCCACCATTGTGCAGCATTGTGCAGTTTGCAAGTGAGTTACCAGTCTCTTCTTCTGGTGGTGCTATGGGACCACACAACTTGCCAAAGGCCACATAAGTGGCAATTTGTGTGGTCCCATAGCACCACCAGAAGAAGGGACTGGTAACTCACTTGCAAACTGGGCAAAGAACAGGAGGGTTGGCATAAGTCAAAATCAACTTCCTGGCTTATAATTAACTAATATTTGGAGGCTAATAGGATAGGAACCTTTACAATAGACAGTTTATGTCCTGGTTCTGGGTAGGAAGTCATAAGGTTCTTCCACCAGAACATCGAAAATAAGGGATAACCCTACTTCAGAGCCAGTGATTTGGATGCCACTACAGCAGAGACTGCAGCTTCCATCAGCCCTGTTGAAGGATGATGAGAGTTGCAGTCCAAAAGCCTCTGGAGATTCCACGTACCCCATACTGTCATTAAAGTAATGCTAAATGACTAACAAGAGGGTCCTGTGACAGAGAAAAATGTTGCTGGGCATACATTTTGCTATCAGAGTAGTCCCACTATTAAAATAATGTTGGGAATTCTCTAGTAAATTGCAAGTAGAGTGGGCCCATTTAAATCAATGGAACTTACGAAGGAGGTAAATTGCAAGTAGAGTGGGCCCATTTAACTCAATGGAACATACGAAGGAATTGTCCCATCAAATCCTGAGTGATTCAATGAGCCTACTCTACTGCAACTTACTACACTAAGCAACATGATTTCATGAATGTAAACTACACTAAGCAACATGATTTCAGCCAATTTTTCCTAGGAATGTATTTTTATTTTGCCAACTGCAGTGCCATCTACTGGCCTGTGAGAAATATCAGGTATGTTTCATTTTGGAAATCTGATGGAATTCATATTAAACACCCCAAGATACACATTTTCCCCTTTAACTGCTATTTATGTGCATGACCATGCCTTGGAGGTGATTAATGCAGTGGGTACCCAAGCAACATAGTGTGAAAGAAATGTATAGACCTTCTGGACTGGATCATATTATTTAATGAAGCACCCCTCAACACTGCAAAATGTTGCCCTGTTGGGATTTCTTTTTCTAAATGCTAAATCCCAGATACTACACATTTATTTGTTTTTATTCAAGAGCTGAGAAAACAGTACCAAATAATACATGGAAATGGAAAGCCCAGCTAAAGCTCTAAACCTTGCATTTCCCTCCAGGAATTAGAAACTCATCCTTTAGAGCAGGGGTCTCCAAATTTTGACTGTGAGGGTCAATGTTTTTGAGGGCTGAAGGAACAGGAATGTGTGGCTGTGCACACATGTGCCCACGGATGCCCACATTGCCTGCCTGCTCACCCACCCACAAACACGCCCCCCTGATTGCCTGCCCGGATTCATGCACGCAGAACTCTGCCCACCCTGCCTGCCCACCTACCCACATGCATGCACCCCCACCCACCTGACCGCCTGAAGGCTGAAGGGAAAAGGCTAGACAAAACAGCAAGACAGGCCAGATGTGACCCGTGGGCTGTGGTTTGGAGACCCCTGCTATAGAGCAAAAGGGAAAATGTTCAGGTTCCTCCTAACTCTCTGTCTCCTTGACCGAAGGTCAGGACCTCTGTTGTCCTCTATGTATGCTCCCTGCCCCCTCTCACCACTTTTGCTCTTGGCTCTGCCTATTGCCTCTGGGTCAGTGTTATTGTCTTCTACCCCACCAATCATAGTGGGCACCAGCCACCACAATCTCCAGGGGAATTAACCTACAGACCCCCTGTTCAATGTGTATTACAAAAGCTTACAGATGAAGCCTTGCTATCCTTTATTCTACTGTGAGACTGATAAAGGGTCACAAATCCAGCAATGTACAGTACAAATAAAAACAACATTTCAACCATGACCTGTGCTTATTACAAAAGGTACCCTTTTGGAAGGGCTTCCCTAGATAGTCATACATAGGTATTTGCTGTCCCTTTTTAAACAGTTGGATGCCAGGAATCAGTCCTGCTCTCAATATGACATTCTCTGATTCAAAAAGCCTGTTCCTAACATGATTTACTGTACTAATGTCTTCCTATCCAACTAAAAGAAAAGAGAGAAGAAAGTGTAATAAGCAGATTAAACATTAAGAAGAATTACATAACTTCAATGAGGACAATGAAGAAATTGAAAACATTAAAGATTATCTATAGCTCAATTTAATCGTCAATTCAAATAGAGACTGCAGCCAAGAAATCAGAAGACTGAGAAGGCTGGCCATGAAGGAACTAAAAAACATCCTTGACTGTAAGGATTTGTCACTTGAAACTAATACCAAGATCATCCATACTGTGTTATCCCCAATTACTGTATACAGATGTGAAGAATGGAGAGTGAAGAAAGCCAGAAGGGAAAACTATTCAAAATATAATGTTGGAGGAGAGCTTTAAGGATGGCATGGACTGCCACCAAGACAAATAAATGGGTACTAGATGAAATCAAGCCACATTCCCCCATAAGTAAAATGACTAAACTGAAGCTATCATACTTCAGGCAAGACACACCAGAAAAGATGATGATGCTAGGAAAGGTTGAAGGCAGCAGGAAAAGAGGAAGGCCAATTATGAGGTGGATTGACTCAATAAAGATGGTCTTGAGTAGAGATGTAAAATTTCTGAAAATTTCCATTTTTCCAGGAAAAAAAGGTTTTTCCCTCTTTTTTCTGGGAAAAAATGGACATTTTGGATATTTTACATCTCCAGAGAAAACCTAAAGTCTCAGAAGTTTTTCATTAAGGTCTTCATATATAGTTTGAATATCATGTCATAGACATATTATTTATCGTTGTAAAAGAATATATTCCACACTCATTTTTTTTAAAAAAATTCTTCCAAAAAACAACAACATGGCTTTGGAAAAAAACCCCAGAAAAAAGCAATTAGAAAAAAACCCGTTGATTTCTAATTTTTCCAAAAGTGTTGACTCACCAAATCCCCACTGATTCAATGGGTCTACTGTAGCTGTGACTTGCTATTGGATTGCAGCTGTAGAAGGTTTGGTAAATTTACAATCTAAACCTATTTTCTGATTTCTGTGTACATGCTCTCCCCCATTCCAGTTGGTATCAACATGAACATTAATTTAACTACACCTATAAACCAGTGGAGCAGATTACTATAAATGTACTTGCAACGGGACAGAAACAAGTGAGTGCAATGCTGTTAAATTCTCCTCCTAATTCTAGCTGGACAAAACACTGAGCTGGAGAACTGGTGAGAAATGCATAGTATAGACCCTCAAGACAGGTAGAAACAATGGTCTGACTAAGGCTTACTCCTGTGCAATGTTAGTAGTTCATCACCTCAATTACCATTAAGTCTCACTCCTACCATTTCTTCTCTGAGGTTTTCACAGCAAGAATATCTTTCAGTAAATGTACAGTGGACCATCAAAGGCATTTGGCTAATAATGACAGGTTTTCAACTGATAAATTGAATTGATAAATTATAACTTACCTTCCAGATGTCTCATCATGGAAGCAACAGACAAGTTTTAAAACTAGGCAGAAGGAAAAGTAAATTATTAATTACCGTGAAGGAAGGTTATACATAAGTGAATAAGCTTTTACATACTTCAGGCAAATTTGTGACCCTATCAGAAAAATGCAGTACTTGTAACACATTATGAAACAGTGCAATAATAATCAGGAGCCAAGGTCTTTAAAGCAAACTGATTTAGTTACTTCAAGGGGGGGGGGAGGCCCTAATTATTTACATATAATTAAATTACTAAACTGCTTCATCAGGTGACCAATATCATTTGTTATCCCATTTGTTATCTGAAGTGTTTCAGGGCATCTGCATAAAACACACATTCCAGCACACCATTTAGCTGGGATATATTCATGTTGACAAAGTATTCTGTATAATCAAAAAGCTGCCATACTCATTACCAGAAATCAGTCCAATAAAATGGTTGGGGTGTTTTATTTTTGGTATAGTGAAACAAAGATAATATAGTATTGTGCCTTCATTTTAGTGTGAGGAAACAGACTGTAATCCACAAAAAGTAACACTGAAATAAATCTGTTACTGTTAAAGATGCCACACAAGACTTTTATCATGGAACAGGCTAACATGGCTACCTCTTTGGAGACTTTTTTTATTCTTGTTATTCTCTCTCACATATCATTCCCAGACAATTAGACAATAACAGACGCACAATTACAGTACTATAGATGATTAAATAGTAATACTAAAAACACAACCAATTAAAAACAACCGATTAAAAAGCTGGATGTTACAATATTCAGTTTACCTAAAGACATCTGCCTGCAAAAAGCAAAAGTCTTTCTTAAAAATATTTTAAATATAATACCATTTTAAAAAACAAGATGTAATCCTTCCTTAGTAGTACACTGAACTCGGTAACTGTGAATAATGTAATTTTTTTTAATCAACCATGAAAACAAAGCAAACATACCACTCCTTTAATACTCAGTCAATGTTACTTCTTAATTTTGGGGGGTCCTATACATGAAAGCTCACGTTAAAAATATATTAAAAATATTCTTTAAGGTGCTGCTACGTTTTTGCCTTTTTAATTTTTTATACTGTATATACTTCTTGGGTTTTGTTAATGCTTGCACAGACTAACAGGGTTGCCTCTTCTAAACGTAGGCAGAAGTCAGTTCCACCGTTTTTTAAGAGCAACAGGTCAGTGTGTGCAAAAAGGCAGCCTTAGAGTGCCATCTGCTGCCTAAAAGAAAAAAATAAAATAAATTGTTGATTTCACTTGAACTTTCGCTCTGGCTGCAATCCCATTTTCCTGGAAGTAAGTCCTGTCGAATTCAGTGGAACTTCCTTTTTAAGTCTAAAGTCTAAACCCGTGGACCTCACGTTAAAAAAATTAGTTTTACATGTATGAGTCTCCCCAAATCCAAATCATAATTATTGCGGTGGTTTCCGGTGGAAGGGGCCGCGGAATATACTTCAAGCACTAAATTGGAAGACGGGCAGGCAGTTCCAGTTGTGGGAGTGAGGCGCCAAGCAATTCAAATCCGGAGTACATTTATTTTAAGCCGAAGACAGATCTTAAGAAATCTCCTTTTGCCCTCAAGCTATGGGTGAAGTCTGGCTCGGGATTGTATAGCGTGTATACAAAGAATCCAACAGGTGGCTCCGTGGCGCAATGGATAGCGCATTGGACTTCTAGAGGATTAAGAGATTCAAAGGTTCCGGGTTCGAGTCCCGGCGGAGTCGCAAACACAATTTTTTTCCTTCTTTCGTCCATTTTCCCTCCCCGACAAAAATACTTCCTGTATTGAACCGACTCTATTGTAAACATTTGCTGAGGCTGCAAAAACCACCATCCGTAAAGACGGAAAAGCTGAGGTGGCCTCCCACCGTTTCGCCAGCGGTAACCCTGCCCCTCAGGAGGAGCTTGCCTAGCGAGTCAGCAGGGAGGCGCTCCAGGCTGAGGGGCGGGGAGGTCTGCGAGCCTCTCCGGCTGCCGGAGGAGTCCGGAGCCTAACGTGCGCCTCGAGTGCAATTTGGAGCGAAGCGTTTCGACCCTTGGGACATACTCTCGATTAAGGGCGATTCTTGAAAACTAGCGAGCCGCCTTTGACTCAAAACGGTGAGGGGACAGACAGTTAAACGAATGGCACAAACCGCTGTTATGAATGCCTCAGCTCTCGGACAACACACTTTGATAGCCCCCCCCCCAGACATTTTGCTGCCGGTGATAACAAATAAGATGCCGCTCTCTTCTGTGAAGAGTAAAGAAGACATCTAGTTGGGGGTTGGTGGGACCATGTCCTCCATAAACCTGAGGGCTGGGCTCGCATAGGAGGCCGAGGGAAGAGGCACAGCTCCAGCCTCTCGTGCCTTGGGGCCGTTGCTCCTCCCTGCCCCACCCCAGCATCTGCTATCTGAGGTGCCCGGCGCTTTCCTCTCTCCCTCATGATAAAGCCAGCCATATAGTCTCGTTGCATTTCTCTTCACATAAGCAGTAGTAGGTGTTCAGTCACAAGGCACGCAGGGAGAGCTGGTCGAGGTAGACTAGGGCAATTAATCATCCCAGGCACGAAGGGGTAGCTGGCAAGACCATAGCGGTCCTTCACGTTATGGAAGGATGGTTGTAAAATTGATTTTTAGACAAAATTTCATCTCTGCCTTTAAAGATGCTTGCAATTTGTTTTTAAGATCATAATATGTTTTCAGAGTTCTAAATTTATTTTTAAAAGGAGCCCCTGGTAGGCAGGAAGACAATAAATCAAAGCAAGGCATGCATGTATCTGTACATATTTCTACACTACCAGGCTGAACGGAAAGCTAATATGCAACATGGATACTGGATATCAATCAGGGCCCGGACTACAAATATTCCACATTTAAACAAAGGGTTTAAGGTTCAGTTCCTTGTCATTCTGGGAAAAGTGACAAATAAAATACTGCAGGACTCCACCCTAAATCCCATGTTATTCAAAATCTTTATAAATAATTTGGCTGAGGGCATGGTGGGGGGTGTTCATCAAATGTTCAGATGTCATCCAACTGGCAAAGGTAGCAAATACTCTACTACAGCACAAAATCAGGATTCAAGATGACTTTATCAGATTGGAGTAATAATCCAAATGAAAAAAAAATGTTTTAACCAGGAAAATGTAAAGTTCTCCATTCAGGCAGGAAAAATCAGAAGCACTAATGTAAGATGGGTCACAGATGGCTTGGCAGTAGTACATGTGAAAAGGATATGGGGTCCAAGTAGATGACAAGCTAAACACGAGTCAATAGTGTGACAGGGTAGTAAAGAAGAAAATTAAAAACAGTTATGAAACTGCATCAGAGAAAGTACATTGTCCAGATCAAAGGAAGTAATAATAACAATGCAATATATTGGTCAGATCTCACCTGGACTTCCTGCCCATTTCTAGGCATTACAATTCAAGAAGTAACATGCCTGGAGGAAAGCAACCTGAGTGGTAAACAATCTGGATAGATTGGTTAATGGAGCTGGGCAAGTTTAGCTTGGAAAAGCTGGGGGTCGGGGGAGGCAATATGATAGCCATCTTCAAATACAGTACAGTATTTGAATGGCTGTTGTGTGGAAGATGGAGCAAAAAAATTTCTTGAAGCCCCACAAGGTAGGACCAGTGGGTTCAAATTACAAGAAAGATCTCACTTAAACTTTAAGAACCTTTTGAAGGCAAGAGATGTTTTGACAGTGGAATTGACTGCCCCAAAGGCGGGTTGTCTCCCCATTACTGGAGGTTAGACAGTAACTTGTTAGGGATGTGTGAGCTCTGTATGGTTTTGCTGATTCATCAGGGGGCTAGATGCAAGGAACCCTGAGGTTGCTTTAAGCTCTACAATGATCTGTGCTCAAAGGTGGGCAAATAGCCTGGTAAGGTAAAGGTAAAGGTTCCGCTTGACATCATGTCCAACTTGCTGATCCCTGTTTCCAAGCTGTAGAATCAGCATTTGTCCAAAGAAAGTTTCCATGGTCACGTGGCCAGTGCTACCAGACACTGAACACTGCTACCTTCTCACCATGGTGGTACCTATTTATCTACTTGCATTTGCATGCTTTTGAACTGCTAAGTTGGCAGGAGCTGGGACAAGTGACGGGAGTTCACTCCGTCGCGTGGTTTTGATCTTACGACTGCTGGTCTTCCAACTCTGCAGCACAGAGGCTTCTACGGTTTAACCGGCAGCACCACCACGTCCCTAATAGTCTGGTACTTGATGAGAAAGATGGATTTTCTTCTCTTGCTTTGAATTCCCATCTAAGGATCTTGTAAATTCTTGGCTATATCTATACTTCCAGGCAACTGCAGGAAAGGACAATGAGTGTACAAGGAAGACAAGTGTGTACACACTGAAGACTTGGTCCAGGTCACCATCATCATCTCTAGAGCTACCATATTAGTCAGGGGCTGAACTTCCATCTTTATATTAATATGGTGTACCTTGGATATGCACGCTGGAAATGCCCACATAATTGTAATGGACTGACAGCAGGTTCATATATCTTCAGCAGTGATCTCAAGCTATCTTTTGTGTATGTTTTGACTGTGAGATTCCCAGTGTGGATAGTGTGATGGACTAGGGCTCTGGAGAACAGACTTTGAATCCCTGCTCAGGCATGGAAACTGACTGGGAAACTGGTAAAACCACACCTTAAATTTCTCACTTACCTTGAAAGCACTATTAGGCTTGCTATAAGCTGATCCCAACTTGACGGCACAAAAGACAAACATGATAGACTACATATTGGACAATTGCTGAATAGATCATGAAGGAGACAATAAAGCTCCAGAATCTGGTCATATGGCTGTAGAGTAAGAATGCACTCCTTGAAAATTCTCCTAGACCTACCCCTCTCATTGCCTCTGAAAGCATTTTCCTAAATCTTTGGTTCTACATGTTCATTTTTTTGCCATGGTGTTGGTTTCAAGATTCTCAATTCTGTGAATTGACGTGTTTGGGGTAACAGTAGTTTAACCTCGCTGTGCGGGGCACCACTGTAAAAGCTAGTTTCCCCCATGAGTCTAATCAGAGAATACAAATGAAAGGATCAAAGGAGGACTATCAATGTTCAGCACTACTAGAAAGCAGTAGACAAGATGGGATAAAGGTGAAGATGAGGGTAAGTTTTTTCCCTTTGCACAGAAAGAATGCCTCAGCCTAACAAGCACTGTGTTACCTATAGTGGTCAGACAGATTGCATCTGTAGTACCTAGAAATAGAAAAGGCAGCAACGGTCCTCTCTTGCTTTTGTTTCCCACCAGGCAAGGACTATATAGTGCAATAGCCCTCTTAAGAAAGAACCGCCAAAGGTGGAAAAAGGCGGAGCGGACAGCCCTCTTAAGAAAGAATTGGTGACAGGCTTCAGTTGACTCATCCGTTGTTGACCTGACAAAATTCCCTTACTCTAATTTAGTAAACATACACAGTACCAAAACATTCATACTTGATAGCTTAGAAATATATTATTGTATATAATAGCTATTTTTATTTTATCTAATCTTTATACCTTTTTAACTTGAGTATGTTGGTGTTTCATTAATCCTTATTCTTCCTGTATAAAATAAATCAGTCAGTGGTCAGAATTCTATTTTGCAACGTAAACAACATTGTAAGTTTCAGTCAGTTCCTTGCCAGTAAATAAAGAGCCCCCGCTACAATTTTTGGGTGTGTGTTCATGTGTACATGTTCCTGAGAAATACAGCAGATTCTTTCTTTGCTGGCCAGAATGAACTGAAACATATGATTCTTGTTACGTTATGCAACACAATTTCAGCCACTATGCCTAAGGGAAGGATATTTAGTGCCATATTTTTGTATGTGTGTACATACTTTTTACTCCCAAATTCTATATTCAATATTATCATAAAATTATTTGTGAGGCTGAATCCAAGGAGAAGATCCCGAACATAGCTGGAACAGTTTAGTTGAGAGGCTTGTCCAACCTGTGGCCTGTGGGCAATTTTGCGGCCCAGTGCAATTTTTTATTTTTAAAGAAATTCCAAACTTTCAAGTTATACTGCCGGCGCTTGCGGCCAGAATGTGGCAGGGCATGTCACAAGAGTAGAGGGGGAGAGAGGGAAGGAAGGAAGGAGTGGGAGGGGAGGGGATGGGGGGCTGCCTGACTGCATTGCACTATCCCCGGCAATAGGGGGAGCCCAT